AAACACCAAAGCTAAATGTAGGGAAGTTATGTTTATAGTATGTAAAGTCTCCCCTATCTCTTTCACAAGAACGCTGGAATCAAAAACGTCTCTATTAAGATAAGAACTGCTTTTGTTTATCCCTCTCCTTCCCCTCCCTGCTGTAGCCTTGCCCACCATGATTTTCCCATGGAGTTCTGTGATTTCCTCTTTTAATGATTGGGCAATGTTCTTTCTTACCACTTTTTTCTACCGTCTGTCTTCTTCTCTGTGGTTTCAGAATCTATTATCTCAACCCATGCCTCTGTAAATTCTTCCTCCTCTTCAGAGTGTCACGCCTAAATTTTTTTACCGACATAGATACCTTATTCCACAACCTAAATCATCTATTTCTCTAATGTCCATGACTCCCAGTTCAACATGATTACATTTTAAGTCCCATTTTCTTGCTCTCTTAAACACACACAGTTCGATTATGAATAATATTCTAGCAATATTAACAATGAGTGTGAAAGTCATTTCCAAAAAGAATCAGTTCAGCACAGTTGTATAGATCACATTGCTTCCTTAAACAATGGCTGCTGTTTCTCTCCAAACTGTATTCACTTGTGAATTGAGTGGGATCGAGGAGAATACCCATTTGACAGATAAAGTGATGAAATCACTTTGGCTCTTTGGGTTTGTTTTTTGTTTTTTTGTGTCACAACTGAACTAAATGTCCCCACCAAGGCACAGAGGGCCTGATCTGAACCTCGGTGGACCCTCAGTGGCCACCAGCCAAAGACCAGCAGGACATAACTGTAATGAGTGGAGTTTTTTGTGCTTACTGCTTCATTGCAATGAAAGTTCACGGAATCTATGGGAAACCATGAGCCAACTCAGTCAGAAACTGTTAGGAGCAACTTACAATAGGAATGCAGTGTCTTAGTTGTTATCATTACTGTGTGCCGTCGAGTTGGTTCTGATTCATAATGACCCTGCGTAGATAGGGTTTCCTAGGTTATAACGCTCTACGGGAGCAGAGATTTTCCACATGAAGCGGCTGGTGGATTCAAACCACCAACCATGCAGCAACAGCCCAACACATAACCCACTACATCACCGAGGCTCTAGGAATTCAGTGTGTTGTTGTTAAGTGTCGTCGAGTCAGTCCCTGTATAGGGTTTCCAAGGAGCAGCTGGTGAGCTTGAATCGCTGACCTTATGATTCAAACCAATCTCTTAGTCCAGCGTATTATCCCACAGCGCCACACCAGGACTCCAGGAATTCAATTTAGGTGAGGTGGAATTAAGTGGGACGGGTTCAAAGAGCAGGGTTTCAGTCTGGGTTGGATGCTTTTAGAAAGCAAAGATAATTCTATGATTGGATATCTTAATAAATCATATGTAGGAGACAGAAGAATAAAGTGAAGCTAAAGTTCTCATTGGAGTCCTGGTGTGATGCTGTAGGATAAACACTCAACCACAAGGTTGGTTTGGAACCAACTCTATGGCATTTAGTAGCAACAACAACAAAGCTGTAATTGGTAAAGAGCTACCAGTCACTCATATTAGTCAGCATGGGAGGAGGATTGGTCAGTTTTGTGGTTTGAATAAGATTCATGTTTTTTTCTTGTTCAGACATGAATGTGGAGTGGTGGGGGTTTGGGTTTGTTTGTTTTTGTATTTGGGTTTTGAGGTGTATGTTTTGTTTTCGGTCATGATTCGTCAAAGTCACAGAGTAGCATTGTGTGGTGTTATTATGTGAAATCGTTTTCATTCAGTAGGAGAACACCGTGTCCTAGCTGTGAGTCCTGGCCAGCTCCTAGCAACACCAAGGACTAGCTGATAGTCTCAGACCAACTCCTAGCCATTAGGAGCTGTTTTTCTCTTTCTCAGTTCCTAGAACAAGTTATTAAGAGCTGGTACTTAAATCCACACATTCTCATTTCCAGTTGGGTGTCTTTTTTTTTTCAATATTCATGTTCCCTTCTTTGCTCAATAGTACCCTTAGGCTAAGGTAAAATAAATATCTGCCTCGAATAAAGCTCAGGGAGCATGTCCCAGAACACTCTGTTCTTCTCCATCATTACCCACTGTGTCAGTTTGATACTTTATGCCATTTGATCTCTGCAGCAATTCTGGGAAATGGGACATCTTGTCCTTACTATTACCCCACCTACCCCCATTAGCTCTGGTAGCGTAGTGGTTACGAATCGGGCTGCGAACCTTAAGGTCAGCGGTTCGAAACTACCAGCCGCTCCGCGGGAGAAAGATGAGGCTTTCTACTCCCGTAAAGATTTACACCCTCGGAAACCCTGTACAGGGTCGCTATGGGTCGGACCCGACTCGATGGCACTCAACAACAACAACAACAACCCCCATTAAAGAAGGGGAGTGGTGATTCTGTAGGATAAGCACAGGACTGCAAACCACAAGGTTGGCAGTTCAAACCCACCTGCTGCTCCACTGAAGAAAAATGAGGCTTTCTGCTTCCGCATATACTTAAAGCCTCAGAAACCCTGTCCATGGTAGCTGTGAGTCAGAACCGACTCCATGGCACTTAACAACAACAACATTCATGAAGGTGAAACTGGGGAGGTTACGTGATATAGCCAGGGTCATACAGCTGTAGAGAGAGCTGGATTTTGAACCCAATGACTGTCCCTTTAGACCTTCCCTCTCTTGTACTAAATTGCTCTAACTGGTACCTTTAAACATGAAAGAAAAAGTCATTTCAAATGGAGAATGCAATTTAATTTCTTCTAGGCTTCTGTGTAATTGTCATCAGATGAGGCCAGTTTCCGTGGGGACCTTTGGCAGATGGGCTGGGACTCATTTCTGTACCTGCTTTTGGAGTTTGCTCTTCCTTTCGCTGTTTCTCCTTGTTCAGCTATGCACACAGTAAGCAAGAACCTGTAGTTTGTCTACAACCATATCAGCATACTTCTTTCTCACCCCCTCAGTTCTCGCTGCCTCTCTCCATTTTCCACCCCAGTTTTCCCTTCAGATTAGTATTTTTTAAAAAATAGGATTTGCCCTAACTTTGTCATTCTGCAATCTCCTTATTTCTAGTGGGTGTGCCACTCTCCCTCTCTTTAGTATCTAAGTTTAAAGACACTATAAAGTTAAAGGCTTCCTTTAACTTTTGGTAACGTATTATCCCTTGTGAATAATAGCTGTGCTACAATGCTAAATACAGGGTTAGTAAAAATAATATGTTCTTCATGTGGATGGAGGTCCAATTGCTGCAAAGAACGTAGTGGCTAAGACAGAGAAAAATAAACAAACACTCAGATGTATATGAGTATGTATACCTTTTGGAACTGTATCCTGTTTAATTACTCATAATAGTTAAAAATTTGTCATTGATTTTTTTTTTTTTACCTCTTTATTTTGAATTATTTTTACCTCTTTATAATGAAGTTTTTATTGTGAATTGAGAGAAAGTTTACAGGGCAGATCATCAGTTCTACATTCAACAAATCATGCACATTGTTTCATTGCAATGAGTATAATCCCCTCCATGTACCATCATCAGTTAACAGTATTTCTCTCTATTCATTTTAGCTCTTTTAAAAAAAACACTCAGGCATATATAATAATTTACACCACCAAAGGGCACATTCTGCAAACCTGCATCCTGGCCACCAGCTCACAATCCCTCTCTTTCCATGTCCTCAGCTGCTCCCTCTCTCCATGTCCCCATCTCTGCCTCCATCTCTGGTGTCACTGTGTCTCTGGATAGGGTCCCACATTCTGCTCGTGCTCTTCTCCCTTGATGGTCCTAGGTCCTCTGTTTCTGGACTGTAAGATTAACTACTCCCCTGTTTTTGTTACAAAACTTCTACCTTTACAATTGTGACACTCACAATTAGTCATGATAGCAATTACTCACTATTGAATCCTAAGAATCTTATCCCCATATCTTTTCACCAGACTCATCTAGACAAGATGAAAATTATTCAGTGGGGACTCTTTCTTCCCCCACACACTCTTAAACCAAACTCCCTCTTGAAACCTTATAAGCCAGTCACTTCGTGCCTTTATCGCCCCCTCATTTTAGGTAGCCAATGTCTAAGTTGCCCATCCCTATCTACCCTGTGTACAGAGGGGATAGCACTGATACTTGATGTGAGGACTCCTTCCCTCGCTGTTGGTATTTTGAGCTACTACCTCCATGAGTATAGGTCAAGTTCATCAAACTGTAGCAATTTACCCTCATTTCCTTTATCAAAAATTGTTTGTTTGTTTTTTTGTCATTGATTTTTGTAGCTTGGTTAGACTATGACTGTACGTTCTCATTAATCTCTGCTGGTTTTCTAGATCCCTGTTTGCTCCAGAAGAATCATGAGATGAGGGCAGTAAATTGGGGAACAGAGTTATATTGGATGTTTGCATGTATTTTAAGAGATAAACCTAATTTTTCCATAGGGTGATGGCATCAAAGGTCCTACAGGGGATTCCGGTTATCCAGGAGTACCTGGAAACAAAGGAATTCCAGGTGAAATGGGCCCCCCAGGATTAGGCTTGCCAGGCCCAAAAGGCGAACGCGGCTTTCCGGGAGACATCGGAATACCTGGCTCTCCAGGCTTTCCCGGTCCTCCTGGTACCCCAGGCACTCCCGGAGAAATAGGTACGGAAGGATCTTTTTTATGGTTCTTTTCTCCAAAGTCACCAGACACTGTGTAGTGTTTCAGTATCCTCTATTCTGTTTTGGCAATGTATAGATTTCCCAGTGGGGTCAGATGAGAATGTTGTGGTTGCTTCATCAGTCCTTGACACATACAAGCGATTACCCAACTCCAGAGTTTCCCAGGCCCATCGCCAACCTCGTCTCACCCATAGGCATATTCAGCCTCTCTCCCTCCCCGCTACTGGCGTTACAGAGCTTTTGAATAGATGTTCAGAAATCGATCTTCATATTCGTTGCCTATACCCAGCCTTCCCACCACAACCAGCAGACACATGAGCACACTCGTGGCTAAACTAGTAACTTTCAGTTGTTTCAAAATTGCTTCCCTCATTCTGGCTTCTTTTCCATAGATTGTGATACAGATGTGAAACGACCCTTTGAAGGACAAGACGTTGTTCATCCAGGTACTGTAATGCAGAGCAGGTGACTTGAGAGCGTGTTAAAACATTTGGTTTATAAACTCTGTGACCCTTCACCAACTGCTTCTTCAGCTCCTGGGGTGTGCAGGGAACTGCAGCAAGAATTCTGAATACGTTTGTCTCAGCTAAGAATCAAAGGCAAATGTAATAAAACGGTAAAATAAGCAAAACATCCCAACATTACTGCCATCTATTTGATCCCAACTCATAGCGACCCTGTATAGCGTTTCTGAAACTTCACTGCCATCTACTCGATTCCAACTCATAGCGACCCTGTATAGGGTTTCTGTATAGGGTTACATGAGCAGACAGCTTCATCCCTTTGCATCAGAGCAGATGATGGGTTTGAACCACCAACCTTGTGGTTAGCAATTCAATGCTGATCCCACAGTGCCACCAGGGTTCCTTTATTAAACCATATGTTGTTGTTGTTGTTAAGTGCTGTAGAGTTGGTTCCAACCCATAGCAACCCTGCATAGGGTTTTTGAGGAGCAGCTGGTGAACTGGAACCGCCGACTTTGTGGTTCTAACTAACTATACAGTTCAGCATATTAACCCACAGCGCCACACCAGGACTTCTATTAAATTGTTGTTGTTAAGTGCTTTTGAGACGGTTCCAACCCATAGTGACCCTATATATGGTTTCCAAGGAGCAGCTGGTGAGCTTGAACTGCCAACCTTGTGGCTCAAACTGACTTTGCAGTCCAGTGCATTAACCCACAGTATCAGACTAAGACTTCTATTAAAACATAGTGCTATGAAATTGTACTCACAAATGAAAAGCACGTCTGCATTGACTCATAATATTGATCAGAATTCAATATTGGATCAATATTTTTATACTTAAAATGTATGTATATGCTTATCTGTCTACCCATACATGCGTCCCTCACTTCTAGACATAGCTAGGCTCCAAAGACCAGGTGGTTGTTACATTGTTGGAACTGGGGCTCAAGTGGATTCTTAGGTTAGTTGCTAATCTAAGAAACTTCTGAACACAATATTTTGACTATTCTCAGTTTGAAAATTACAAGCCAAAAAGGAACAGCAAGCAAAGTGTGAAATCTCTTAGCAGGCTTGTGTTTCACAGCACTATGGGGGCAGTGATTCAGAAACTATTCTGGAGAAATGTCTGATTTCATTGTAGACAGGAACTGTACAAAATTTGGAACATCTTGGGACAGAAAGTAAGAAAATGCTGAATTATGATACAGACATGTCAAAAGAACATAGAAGCCAGATTGAAAAGGCGTATCAAATGATGAACAGTAATAAATTGTTGTTGTTGTTGTTGTTGTTGTTACGTGCCATGGAGTGGAGTCGATTCTGACTGGTACTGACCCTGTGGTTCAAAACAACCATTTGGAGTCCTGCTTTGGCACTGTAGGATAAGCACTGGACCGCAAGGCCATTTTGAACCACAAAGTGCCAGCCGTTCAAAGTCACCAACCGCTCCTCAACACTTTACAGGGTTGCTACGAATCAGAACTGACTCAGCCACACTTATCAACAAAAATGTTAATATTTCATCCAGGCAAAAATCCTCAACAGATGCTAAACTATTGGGGGGAAGCATAATGAGGAACAGTATGTTTATACAATCTCAGAGTAGCTACTCCTATAATTTATTCACTAATTATAAAAGTAAAAACCGTAACTTTACACTAGAAAAAACTGGACATCATCTTAACCAACGAGTCCAAGTTAGCATCACTTAGTGCCACTGAGGTGATATCGACTCATAGTCCCCCTACAAGACAGGATGGAACTGTAAACCTCACAGGGGCAGACAGCCTCATCTTTCTCCCACTGAGCACTTGGGGGCTTTGAACCTTGCTCAGCGTTTAACCTACCGCACCACCAGAGCTCCTGTTAACATCACCAGGAATGAACAAATCATCAGGTGCCTTTGGATAAGATGCACTAACACACCATTTCTAGGTTATCCCTGCCCAAAATGCACTGCCTGAATTTAGCCACGAGGAGACACCAGACAAACCCAGATTGAGGAACAGTTTAGCACTTCACTGGTCTGTGCTCATTAAAAGAAAGTTGATGTCAGGAAAGACAAATTAAGAGACTAAATCAGAACATGTATTTTCACAAGATCTCTAAGTGATAGCACATGAAAATTCAAGAAGTTACATCCTGGAGTCTTTGCTTTGCAGCTGCCTACGTAATATTTAAAATAAAACAAAATCCACAGCACTGAGTGGAATCTGATTCATAGTGATCCTGCCAGAAAGAGTAGATCTCCTTAGGGTGTCAGAGACTCAGTCTTTATGGGAGCAGCCTTTTGGGTTAGCAGCCCACTGATTAACCATTGTACGGCCAGTGTGCCTCTCTGTAAAGATTACAGCCTTGGGAACTCTTGGGGTCCTTTTATTTTCTGGAGTCTTAGTGTGGCGCTGTGGGCTAATGCGCTGGACTGCAAAGTCAGTTTGAACCGCAAGGTTAGCGGTTCAAGCTCACCAGCCACTCTTCGGAAACCCTATACAGGTTCGCTATGGGTTGGAACTAACTCGACAGCACTTAACAACAACAAAACAATATAGGAGTCCTGATGTGGCTCTGAACCACCAAGTCAATGGTTCAAACCCACCAGCTGCTCCTTGGAGACTGTATACAGGGTTGCTATGAGTTGGAACCAACTTCACAGTACTTAGCAATAACAACAACAATAGGGTTACTATGCAGTCTTGTGGTGTTGTAGGATAAGCACTGGACTGTTAACTGCAAGGTCAGTAGTTCAAACCCACCAGCTGCTTCTTGGAAGCCCTGTCTATACAGGATCTCTATGAATCATTACTGACTCAACAGCACTAAACAACAACACAAATAGTACACTGCTCAAAGAGAAAACTCTGCCAAACTTTGGCTGCTTAATGAGCCCACCATACGAGCCCAGCTCAGATTCTTAGACAATTAGATAAAAGGTATCTGAGCGAAAAAGTAACAAAATACTCCTGCTCCAATACCAGTGTACTTGACCAGACCAACCAAAAATGGCTACGATCCTAGTCTAATTCTGAATTGTTCAAAATCGCTAACTGCCATGATTAAATCTAAAGCATTCGAAGTCGCAAAGGAGAAGGCAAAGAGTTTCTTTTGAAATTATAAGCTCTCTCCATTTAGTGTTTGAGGACAACCCATATTAATTCAGTCTGTGCCAACTCCAGTGCCCTAAATGAAGGAAATGATTCATCTACAACCACAGTACCAGCTTTGATTTGACTGTGCTTACTCATTTTGCATTTTATATTAAGATTCTCACTTCATTGTATGATGAAATTAAACTTTTATTGACATCAGAACCAATATTAATTAAACCTTTAAATTATCTGATCATAAAATAGTAGCTTACTTGCATGGTTGGTGCTTTTTTTTTTTTTTTACGTTTTTTGTGTGAATTGAGTGAAGTTTACATGGTTGGTGCTTTTGACCCAAAGGCAGGAGATTCAGTATCCAAGAAAAGCTCATCTGTTTTCTTTCTCTTCCTAGGTTGTGTTAGAGGGCCCAAGGGAACACCAGGCTTGCCGGGACCACAAGGCCCCTCAGGTAATTCTCTTCAGTAAATCTGATAGTACATCCAGCTTTCTTCTTCACATCTTTATCTTTCTCTTTCCTCTTTGTAGTTCCTATGTGCTCTGTCCCAGTCTATCCCTCCCTAGCCCCAGACATTGTATTGGTCCGCCATCTTGGTACTGTATTACAAACTATTACAGTTTTGATCATCAGAACACTTTTATTCATCCCTATTAAGAAATGTGCATGTGGTAATGGGCAACCATTAAGTCCCAGGCTATTAGGGAAAATTCCTGCAACAAAGAAAAATTCCGTTATAGCTCATAAACGGCACAAAACTTGGAAGACACATGTAGAGTGACAGAGACCTAGAATCTAAGTATTTTTCAAAACAGGAAAGCTTCGTCTTTTAAGATTAGAAAGGAGACTTACCCCTTCATATATTCTTTGCCCCTTTATGCCCTTGGATACATGGGAGGAACCTATGGAAGAGGATTTCTTTGGGGTTTTGACTAGGAAGAAAACAGAAATCAATGAGACTAGAAATATCTCAGTCTAGAAAGAAGTGGGCTTTGATCACCCCAATTTGTAAGCACACGTGAAAATAAGTACAGATTTTCTGTTACCACACCCTTTTCTGGAGTGGCCTGTGGTTGTTAACTCTGAGGCATGGCGTTTCCCGCTGTGGCCTGAGAGACCACAGCTGCTCTGGTGACCCCTGTTTCTGACTAGATTTTGCCCCCCAGTGGCTCAAGAGTTTCCACGGTGGGGACATAACTGGCAGAAGGCACATCCAGGTATGCCCTGGAATTTTCTGAAGGGGAATTTTATCTGTATAAAATTCACATTATCTGTGTTCAGAAGCCAGTGTTCTAACTAGAGCAGTATGAGTTCAGATCAAGGAAAATGTCCTTTCGTTTTCTCTGGCTGACCATGGCAGGACAAGTCACTCAGATCATTCAGTGTTGAAACTTGAAATGCAGAGTCAGAAAATCTCGTGGTGGTGGTGGTGGTGGTGTGGTGGTTATGTGTCTTGGGGTCGGTTCCGACCCATAGAGACCCTGTACTGGGTTTCGGAGGCTATAAATCTTTACGGGAGTAGAAAGCCTCATCTTTCTCCTAAGGAGTGGTGGGTAGATGCCCATTGTTGACCTTGAAGTTAGCAGCCCAACTCCTCATCACCCACTACACTACCAGGGCCCTAGGTTTTGACTCATAGCAAACTTGCATAGGATTTCTTAGGAGCGACTGGTGGGTTTGAACTGCCAACCTTGTATTTCAAATCAGTCTTGCAGTCCAGGACTTACCCCAGGGTTCCTTGTCGCTTATTCTTTCTGGAACATGTTGTCACTTAGTCTTTCCCTCATCTGTAAAACAGGTATACCACTGGTGTGTTCTAGACTCTTCCTGCATTGTAAATAATGTTCTTAATGCTTCAAATGATAAAATGTCAGCCAGGTACTCTAAACTGTAAGCAAGAGTAAGATGCAGTTACAGTAGTATAAACAACTCTCAGAATCGGAAAAGTATTTAATTTGTTTTCAGCACAACTTCTGTGTCTTGGACCCTAAAGGCTTCTTCTATCACCTACAGTCTGGCCCTTCGCCCCACTGTATGTCTATCAGTAGGTTTCAACATGGCTGCTACTGTGTTGTTGTCATTGTTGTCGTTAACTGTCTTCAAGTCGGTGCTGACCCATAGCAACCCTGTATAAGGGTTTCCAAAGAGTGGCTGATGAGTTTGAACCACCGACCTTGTAGTTCAAACCGACTTTTCAGTCCAGCGCATTAACCCACAGTGCCACACCAGGGCTCCTACTGTAGCAATCCCCAAACAGAGGCACCTCCGAGGGAAGGGGACTTGGGAGAAGCCCCAAAGAGTTCTGTTGATTTTAGTTACCATCGAGTCAGTTCCGACTCATAGCATCCTTATGCACAACAGAGTGAAAATCCTGCCTGGTGCTGGGCCCTCCTCACAACCATTGTCCACCTTGACAACATTCTGGTGCTCTTCATCATGTTTTGGTCTTCAGGATTCTGGTGCTGACCGTGGTCCACAGCAGTGGGATCATTTATACAGGGCCTAAAATAGAACCATAATTGGGGGTTGAGGGAGACATTTAGGTAAACATATTTTTATAACCTGATGTTTACTAAGAGAAAAGGTTTAAAGAGCCAATTTATCTGGTACAGACTAATTAAATTTTAGGGTGATTGCACATTTGAATAATTGCCTTATAGACTAATACTTTGCCTGTAAGGTGATTATTCATATGTGCAACGAGCCTAAAATGAAATGTGAAAGACAATATCCTTTAGATGTTAGGAATGAAGAAACTGTCTTCTCAGTCTCCTTTGTGTTTAAGATAATCCATGCACAGACCCTGAACACCAAGATACTTGTTTCTTTCTGCGCACTGACGTGATTAGTAACCAAACAGCTCCAAGTGTGACGTGTTGTTAGTTTGCTTTCATAGCGCCAATAATTTAGTTAACAACTTCCACAAGATTTTAGTCTTATGGTTTCTGCTAAAATAGAAACCCAAGACTTTTTTGTTTTGTAAAAGCTTTAATTTACATTTTATAGAAATCTGTCATTCCCTACTCCTATTTTGAACTGCAAGGTCAGTGGTTCAAACTCACCAGCTGCTCCCTGGAAACACTATAGAGGGTTACTATGGGTCGGAACCGACTTGATGGCACTTAACAAGAACAACCCCTATTTTGGAGTCCTACTGTAGCGCTGCAGGAAAATGTGCTGGGCTGTAAGATCAGTTTGAACCACAAGGTTGGGGTTCAAACCCACCAGCTGCTCTTCAGAAACCCTATACACGGTCGCTATAGGTTGTAACTGACTCGATAGCACACAACAACAACCCATACTCTGCTGTTGGGAGTCCCTGGGTAGAACAAACAGCTTGCACACTCACTTGCTAACTGAAAAGTTGGAGGTTCAAGTTCATCCAGAGATATCTTGGAAGACCTTGAGATCTAATTCCAGATTCAGTCATTGGAAACCACGTGGAATACAGTTAGCTCTGTGACACACATCGGGGCCAACGTGTCAGAATTGACTAAGAGCCAGTGGAGGTTTTGTGCCATTGTACGTCTACATTTTTTCCATTAACAAGTTAGTTTCTTGTTGTTCAGTGCCGTCGAGTCAATCCCTACTCAAAGCCTCCCTGTCTAGAGTCTCCAAGGAACAGCTGGCGGGTTTGAACCACCAACCTATGTTTCAAACTGATCTTACAGCCCCACACATTTTCCTACAGCACCACACTAGGACTCCAAAACAAGGGTGGTGGTTGTTAAGTGCCATCGAGTCGATAGCAACTCTGTATAGGGTTTCCAAGGAGCAGCTGGTGAGCTTGAACCACCAACCTTACAGTTCAAACAGCTTTGCAGTCTGGTGTATTAACCCACAGCACCACACCAGGACTCCAAAATAGAGGTAGGGAATGATGTATTTCTATAAAATATAAAGCATTTACCAAAAAAAAAAAAAAAAGTCCTGGGTTTCTATTTGAAAACAGTCTGTTTAAAAACAGTTAGTTACATTAAGGAGGAGACAGTTGGAAGAGATCATTTTATTAATGGAAACTTTTAGATAATCTATCATTTATTTGGAGCCCTGGTGTGGCACTATAGAATAAACATTGGACTACTGCAAGGTCAGTTTGAGCCACAAGGTGGCGGTTCAAACCCAGTAGCCAGTCAACGGAAACCCTGTTCAGGGTTGCTATCAGTCGGAACTGACTTAACATCAGCAGCAATACTGATTTGCTGTATGAGCAGGGATGGAGATGCATTGTGTTCCTATAGCCAGCCAAGCCTGATGCTGTCCAATGGATTTCAGTTTACGGTGACCCCATGTGTGTCAAAGCAGAATAGTGCTCCATAGGATTTTCAATGACTAAAAGGAGTAGTGGTTACGAATCGGGCTGCGAACCTTAAGGTCAGCAGTTCGAAACTGCCAGCTGCTCCGCGGGAGAAAGATGAGGCTTTCTACTCCCGTAAAGATTTACACCCTCGGAAACCCTGTACAGGGTCGCTATGGGTCGGAACCGACTCGACGGCACTTAACAACAACAACAACAATGTTTAGTTAGGGCGCTGTGGGTTAATGCGCTGAACTGCAAAGTTGCTTTGAACCTCAAGGTCGGCGGTTCAAGCTCACCAGCTGCTCCTCAGAAACCCTATACAGGGTTGCTATGGGTCAGAAGCGACTCAACAGCACTTAACATTTTGTTTGGCTTTCAGAGTATCTCTGGGTGTACTCAGATTGCCAGCCTTTCAGTTAACAGCCAAGTTCATTAACCACCAGGGTCTTTATTGTCAATTCTGACTCATGACGACCCCTTGTGTTACTGGATAGAAATACTCCCTCAGGTTTGCTTGGCTGTATTCTTTATGGAAGTGTTTTCAGGAGGACGAATCCCACCTCCGCCCTGAAAAAGAGGACTCTTGCATTCTTCTGATTAAGAAGTCAGGTGAGGCAGAATTACCACACAAATAAAGGCTTATTATAGGAAAGAGGCCTGCAGGTGGAGATGGGGGGAGTTTGATGCAATGCTTAACCCCTGACTCTCAAGCAGAGACTTTGCTGGGGTTTAAAAGATTTAAAAGATGAAAAAAGGTATCGTGTTTATTTATAGGAGTGGTGGTGGTGGTTATGTGCCGTGGAGTCATAGAGACCCTGTACAGGGTTCTGAGGCTGTAAATCTTTATGGGAGCAGAAAGCCTCATCTTTCTCCCGCGGAACAGCTGGTAGTTTCGAACTGCTGACCTTGAGGTTAGCAGCCCGATTTGTAACCTCTGTGTTACCAGAATTCCTTATTTATAGGAGTATGTGATCCATTTAGGAGGGATAATGCTAATTGGGTGCCCACACAGCATTTTTTCAAACTTGATTCCATCACAAAGACCTCTGGAGGAGTAAACATGTTGCACATGCGTAGTTCTTCAGGACTCTGGTTCAAGCCCCTCCCAGGGATGGTGTTCTCCTCTGCCCCAGTGGAAATCCATGCTTTAATGTTATACCTTTGTTGTTGTTGTTAAGTGACATCGAGTCGATAGCAACCCATAGTGACCCTGTATAGGGTTTCCAAGGAGCAGCTGGTGAGCTTGAACCACTGACCTGGCAGTTCAAACAACTTTGCAGTCTGACATATTAGCCCACAGCGCTACACCAGGGCTCCAATGCAGCACAAGGCCGACCCATAAACAGTTTTATTCCCCTGTCTCGAAAAGGCCTCTACTCCAGTTCCAATTCCCCTTTTACAATTCAACCCTGAATGTCCCATTTTCCCTCCCACACCCCACACTTCCACAATCTAACACAAATGGTCTTGATGACTGTGTTCTTATTTAAAGTTCTGAGTCCTAGAACAGATTTCTCGTTCCCCTTCCCCCAGTTCATCCTGCTCACATACCTCTGGGTGTGAGTCAACAACGTATGTCTGGTCTAGCAATCTTGTGCATCCTTTATTCCTGAATGTGAACCATCTTCAGAATCCCTCACAGAACCACCCACTTTTAGGTTAGTGGTGGACAAACTGTTAGTGACACCCAAGGACCTTACATTCCTGTACAGTGTGTGTTTTTCCAAGCCCAGCCGCGCCTGTCTTCCTGACTTGAAAGGGACACCAGACAATGTGGCCCCACAGAGAGAAATTGTTGGGACCTGTACAAACCATTTCCCTGCTTCTGAGCTCGGTGTTAACTCCAGAAAGTGCAAAGGGTTTCTTTATGTCCCTCTAAGACCTCTTCCTGTGCCAACATAGAAAAGTACTGAAAAACTTTAAGATGTTTGATTTAGTCCTTTGTACACAAAAGCCATGTCCCAGATCTAACCCTAATGACTAGAAAGAATATTTGTAGAGACTGTTTGTAGAGAAACTAGGCCCAAACTGACCAGATGTCCTTGAGAGTATCTGCAGACCTCTTCACCCTACCCGCTCCTCCTCCTTCTCTCTGCACACCCTGCCTCTCAACACTTAAACAGAGGCTGTTGGTTCTCATGATTATCATGAAAAAGAAGTTAAGATTATTCCTAAAGCACATAGCTCCCAACTTAGGCCACATGTGCTTTCTGTAGGTTTTTTTGAGAACCTCGGGTAAAAGAAAATTACTGAATCTTAAACCAGACAGGCTTAACTAGCCTAAGGACAACAGTAGTCACACGTTGGGCTGCTAACGGATAAATCAACAGTTCAAATCTACCAGCGATTCCCCTGGAGAAAGATGAGAATTTCTGCTCCTATAAAGATTTGCAGCCTTGCAAACCCTATAGAGGGTCGCTGTGAGTCAGAACCGACTCAACGGTACCTAACAACAGCAATAAAATCAATGAGAATGCAAATAACATCACTGCTATTGATCTTAAGGGGCAATGAGACCTCCTTGTTTTCTGCTAGAACATCCCAGGAAAATTTTTTTCAAGTATCTGTAGGGAATTAATGTATAGCAATGGAAAAAGCCTCACTGGGGGCAAAAAGACAGAGGTCTGCATTCTGCATGTCTCTCACTAATAACTGTGTGAACCAAGGACAGTCATTCCCTGTATCTGGAATCAATTGTCCCATCTTTTCTTTAAGGAGAACTTAGCTGGGGACCATATTTTGAACAGCAAGACTCTAAAAGACTACGAAAGTCTTCTCCAACTCTTAACAGTTGTGCATGTTAGTATTATGTATTAACTCGGTTAGGCTATGGTGCCCAGTTGTTTGGTCAAACACTAGTCTGTTTGTGTACCATCCAGTCGGTTCTGACTCATAGCAACTTTATATAGGGTTTCCGAGAGTGGCTGGTAGGTCTGATCTGCCAGCCTTGCAGTTACCAGTCCAGTGCTTATTAGATCAGTTGACCGTAGTGATTTAATATAGTAGTAGAGCTCATTATGAATTAATTGAAGACTTTAAGGGTTTCCGAGGAGCAGCTGGTGGGTTTGAACTGCAGACCTTGTGGTCCACAGTCCAGTGCTGATCCTACAGGCCCACACCATGAGTCCTTCACTCATCCTCAGGTTCACACTAAGCCTGTGATTGAGGAGCTGCTGTAGCCCCTAGAATTACTCCTGTAAACCTAAGTGTCTCAGAGCTTGATGAACTCCCATTAATATACTGGTGGGCTTTTCCTGAAGGGAATCTGATGTGTTTTGTGGTTTGTCGGGGTTGTCTAGGTACCAAAGGCCTCAGAGGAATACCAGGGTTCTCAGGACCTGACGGAAATCCAGGACTCAAAGGTTTGCCAGGAGAACCAAGTCATGAAGGAGTCCCCGGACCACAAGGTAAGTCTAGATGGCAGTCCCCTTCAGCCCCTTCGGTTCTGGAAATGGCCTATGTGTGCTGAGGCATTCTCAGCTCTGTTACCTCCTAACACTTAGAAATGATCTCAACAAGTACTTGATGGCCCTTGTCTGGGGGAGATTCAAAATGCTTGACTTGATGCATACTATTACTGCACTTTAGCACATACTGGCTTTTTGCAGAAAAAGATACCTTCAGTTCTCACAGGGAAAAAAAAGAGAGAGAAAGCTGAAGTGTTCCAGATAATGCAGAAATGGTTTTCTCTGCTTTATACGAAACCTGTGCACATACTGGCTTTTTGCAGAAAAAGATACCTTCAGTTCTCACAGGGAAAAAAAAGAGAGAGAAAGCTGAAGTGTTCCAGATAATGCAGAAATGGTTTTCTCTGCTTTATACGAAACCTTCTAAGGCATAATGTTCCTCTCTTCCAAGACCCGTATTATTACTGGCTCCCATAACCATCTTTGTGGATTTCTGAATTTGCTGACCACTCACCAAATGCCGCCCAAAGTCTGTGCATTCAGCGGTTCTTCAATGTTCAACTTTTCTGGGTAAACAGTTCTAACCACCCCATCTGCATTTAACACAGAAAAGAAATATGGAAGCCATTAAGTGGCTCAAGGGAGTGTCCTGGTGTGACAATGCAGGGTAAGCACTGGACCACAAGGTCAGTGTGAATCGCAAGGCCGGTGGTTCAAACTTACCAGTCACTCCTCAGAATCCCTATACGGGTCACTGTGAGTCAGAACTAACTCAATGGCGCTTAATAACAACAAAAACAAGTGGTTGAAAGAGTTCAAGCCCTTTGCCTATATGTGGAGAAAAGTGGATATGGAAAAGAAATAGGAAGTACCTGCTTATGGACAGCACCTTCTGTAATGTAATCCATGCCCCCCAACACCGATGCCCGTGTGGGCTTATAGCTGTGAGTCTAGCACCATGACGTCACTGTGCTTACGAGGCTCAAACACATCTGGGGATTAGGTCATCTAAATGAAACCATAGCGGTCCTGAAGGCCAACAATGGCAGACCTCCTTCCTAGAATCTGGATTAGGTGTTTGTCTAGACTTTGCTGGGGAATCTCTCTGCTTACCTGCTCACTGGCATCGAGTCTATTCTGACTCATAGTGACACTTACCAGACAGAGCAGGATTGTTCCTTAGAATATCAGGCTGTGATCATTACAGAAACAGACTACCTCATCAGAGAGGCTGCTGGATTCAAACCATTGATCTTTTGGTTACGAGCCCACCGCTTAATCCACGGCACCACCAGGACTCCATGTACTGTTGAGTCAGTTCTGGGTCATGGTAACCCCAGAAAGCCTCGTCTTTCTCCTGGGGAGCACCTGGTGTGCTGAAACTGCTCATCTTGCAGTTGGCAGCCCAGGCGGACTGTGAAACTCTGAAGCCCCCTTATCCCACAGAAGTCTCATTCTTCGTAGCCACCTTCCTACACACTGGGAACGAAAGCTCATTGCCCTACAGTTCTTATCTCAGTAATAAACATGTTCTTTCTGAGGCCTAATTCCAGGCTGCCGGGACGGAACCTGGTCACCCTTCTGCCACTGCCCTCTAGCTTGTTGGCATGACTTTCAAACTGAAAACAATACTTCACATGTCTGCAATTTCACACAGAACACTGAGACTACTGTGTCCTCAAAGGCAGACACTTGACAAATATCTTCAGCACATAGTAACTGAATGTTTCCTCTTCCCCGTCCTAGACTTAGATCACTGATTTAGACCTAAATGTAGAACTTTACATCAGTCTGTGATAGACTTGGCGTCCCCGTGTGGCTCTGTGGGCTAAGCACTGGACTGCTAACTACAAGGTGGGTGATTCAAACCCATCAGCCACTCCTTGGACACCCCATCCTGGAGTGCTGTGAGTCAGAACCGACTCGACGACACTCGACAACAACAACTAACTGCAAGGTTGGTGGTTCAAACCCACTAATTGCTCCTCATAAATCCTCTACAGGGTCACTATGAATTGAAACCAACTTGATGGCAGAGGAAAATAAAATATCCAAGTACAGAAATTACCCAAAAAAAAAAAAAAACAAATCTTCCAGATACAAGATCTACATATGAGAATTTAGGTTCAGACATCCCCCTGCAGTGACTACAAATTCATTGTTTTTTTTATATTTCCATAAATCCATATCTCTTCTGTATATGAGTAAACATTAAAACTTTGAAACAGCAGCCAAGCTAATTAATAGTAAGTTTAACTTGAGATCTCTTGTTCTGTTCCAAACACAGTTGGTCCCATCAATCTATCTTCCAGTTCTCAGGCCTAGCCAGGGCTTTGCAATCATAGTAAAGTCCTAGTCATTTAATCCTTATTGTTAGTAGACAATGCAGAATGGGTAGAAAAATTCCCTCTCCATTTCCCAAGCATAAGGTGTGGAGCCTTTTGTGTATTTGATCCTTTGGCTTATTAATATCTCTAGAGCCTAATTCTCTTAGTTTCAGCGTTCTCTTTGCTTAGAGCAAAGTTAGCAGTAAGCTCAGAGACCTTTCCTTCGGAACAGATATGTGACTGTCAGGCCATATACTTCAGTCAGAGGTCACATCTGTGCTTACCACGTTGAAAGGGGAAGTAGCATGATGAGATCATTTGACCCAGTGGCGTCCACAAAAGGCACAACCATTCAAGCACATGACAGCCACCATCTCTCCATTCAAGTATGTGACAGTTGATGATCTTCACAGTGCACGCCACAGAGGGGTATCAGTGCAAAGGGCATGTAAAATGACCGACTGAGGAAGGATTTATTACCAGCAGGACACATCTCAGGGAAGCAGAATTTTGGCTCTGATTCCTCTGTGAGCCTCACGCATAGGTGTCTACCCTCACTCCCACACAGCACATTGAAGGTTCCACCAAAGGTATTCTTTTGTACTTATGTTCAAAACATGGGAGCCATGGATTATAAAGATATATGTGCAAGGAGGCTCTGTAGGATAAACACTGGGCTGTGGACCAAAAGGTCAGCAGTTCGATTTCACCAGCCACTCTCCAGGAGAAAGATGAGGTTTTCTGCTGCCACAAAGATGTACAGATGCAGGAACCCTGTACAGGGTCACTATGGGTCGGAACTAACTCAATAGTACTTAATAACCACATGTGCAAGGAAAAGTTAGTTCTGTCGGCCTTGCCCACCTTAGCTAAAGTGTAGGACTGGTGGCCAGGTGGAGGAGGAAAGCAGAAGAAATGTGCACAATCGACAGAAAAACAGCATTGCCAGAGAGGTGGGTTCCTAGATGGATCATGTACAGGCCTTCAGCGGAAGTGAAATTTGTGAGGTCCCTCTTTGCAAATCCTTACCATGTTCAGCCTCTTTCCGATGTTTCTTTGAGAATGTCATAATGCTAATCTGTGATTTGGGGATGACAGAGGTTCCCCACCCCTGATTTATTTCCATGTTTTCTTTCAGGATTTGTGGGACCCCGAGGATCAAAAGGTGCCACAGGATTCCCCGGGCCCGAGGGACAGCCAGGCCCCATAGGCCTGCCCGGCCCAGGGGGACCACCAGGTGAAAGGGGGCTGCCTGGAGAAGTCTTGGGAGCTCAGCCCGGACCTCGCGGAGACGCTGGACTGCCTGGATACCTGGGACTGAAGGGCCAGCCTGGAGACAGGGGCCCTCCTGGATTCAGAGGTATGATGCCATTTCCGGAGAAGAGCGATAAATAGGGCCCGGTCCCAGCTGTGCTGCTGTGACCCCCTAGGGCTGTTCTGAAGGCCCTGCCTGTTAACCAGCAGCAATTCTCTATGACAAACGTCTTGCTATTTTATGCCTTCTTTAGTTCAGGGGTGGGGAATTCTTGAGTCTGGCCCTGCAAAGGCGACCGGAGTTCCAACCATTACATTAGGGGTGAGTTAATGAGATGTGTGAACAAACATAGCAGGCTAATTTTTAAGTTGATAATTTTTGTATGACCCATGAATGATGTTATAAATTTTGGCAGAAAAAAGGTTCCCCACCCCTGATTTATTTCCACATCCCTTTGGGGTGTTTTTATTACAATAATAATGACACTATGTTTGCATTCTATAGCTAGTGACGTATGTCCATTGATACTCTTTACAAATACAGTTTACATCTATACTGTGTTCTGAAGTTACAGATAAATTACCATAGAAGGCTTGCTGGGTTTTTGTTTTTGTTTTTCCTGAATGTTACACAGTTAGTATAAAAGAAAAATGAACATGATCATGCTTAGTCAGAGGTTAAGAGGAAGACAGGAATAATCTGGAATGTAAGTAATTTCGTTGTTTTGTTTTTTTAATGGATAGTTTTAAGATTTTTTTAAAAATATGTTAACAGCATGTGCAAGGAAAAGATAAAAATATATGATCAGTTTATGTATAGCAAAGTAGACATACAAACTCATAGCAACACTGAAATGTGAGGGAACATCAGATTATTAAAGTGTCCAAGTTATGCAAAATGGGCAATGAGACCCCACTCATTTAATGAAAATCTGTGTCTCTGGTTGGTAAATATTTGTACTCAGTGTGCTGTGTTCTGGGGTTGAAGATCACTGGAATAGAGCGAATGTCCTCTGTGCTAAAAATCAGACATGAAATGGAAGGATAAACCCATGACTTTGTCTGCTGACCATGTGGACAACCTTCATCCCTGAATCCCTACAATCTCAGGCAGATGGTGATGAGAAGCTAGTATCTGTTCCCACCATCAGAGAACCTTTAGAAGGACATCTTCAGGGCCTGATTAACTGGCAGGCGAACTCATTAAACCCATGAACACAAATTAATTTTCAGATTAGCCATGCCAAAATGAAAATGGAACACAGGACAGGTGGTTTTTGAAGATGATAAGAATGACTGGCACATACAACTATTGATTGTGTCTAGGAGCACAGCCAAGGAAGAGAAGAGAGCCCAAGGAAGGGTAGAACAGACACCCATGTACACACACACACACACACACACATGACTAACACTGTCCAGGACCAAGCCTAAGAATGAAGGTCATTTCATATCACCAAGGCAAATGGACACCCTATGATAAGACATCTGGGGTCTGCCTGGCCAACTTTGCTAACTCTGGGTCAGTTACAAAATATAAAGTATAAATCAGCAATTGTCTGGAGAGATTAGGAAATTGGCAGTGCTGAAGGGAAAGTGTTCTCTGCTTTAGCCTTGCCCCATGATTATTTAAATGAATGACATTTCCAGACTAATGAAAGGCAAAGTGTTGCCCACACTTCCTGGTGTCAGCATATCCAGGGTGTATCCGATTTGCCATCCAACTGTGAAAGCTACGCCCCTAGCTAGTTTTGCTTAAGTGTGCTTCTGGTAAGTGTGAGGTTTAAAGACAACAAATAAATTTCCTGCAGGCTCTTAAAACATTGCTTAGGGTAAAAACTAAAAACAATGGCAGGTTTATTTCAGAGACATTATCCTGTCAGAGTCCCTTTCCAGAGCAAGTTTCATAAGCCCTGTTTAGGCAGAATCTTTTGTCTTGCAAACATTCTAACTGCTAGAGGATTGAAAGCTAAGAGTAAATGTCGCACATCCCACATGACATTTTGTACCATAATGCCACAGGGACCCAGAGAGGAGGCTGCTTCTGGCTCAATGGGCTGTTTGGGGCCCAATCAAAAAGAAATAGACACATCCTGCGTCTCTGAGGAAAACTGTCCAAATAAAGGATTCATGTAAACCCACAGATTAGCCTTTTTTAGCTGATTTTTGTTTGTTTGCAGTAGTTGTTCCTTTTTAAACAGATGTTCCACAAATGGAAATTGACCTAAAATATTCAGCAACAATCTAAAGCAATAATTACAACAAGCAAGTGAAGGAATCAAATACACCAATGCCTGAGTTTTCTTAAGGCAAACAGAAGTAACCGAAGTCATTATCACACATTAATCCGTAGCCTGTCCTGCCCGCTGTCTAGTTCAGAAACAGGCATTGGACTGTGGGTTTCAGCTCTGCTTGTCTTATGCGTTGAGTTGTCTCAATTCATCCATAATTTCAACGTTACTTGGTTGTGATCATCAGCGTGTGATTACAGTCACCTCCTCCCCCTATGCCCATGTTGATGGGCAGAAGTATCTGCAGCGAAGAGCTTGACATTGCTTATTAAAACTTTACAGCCCACAATGATGCCTACCTGCTCTTACCAAATCCCTTAGCACCATGAGCAATCAATCATACTTTCCCCTAGAGCTGTAAACGCTAAAGATAGCAAACCAAAAAATAAAAAGTATACTCATTTCTGACAATAAAGTCAGAGTATGTGAAAATACATGCATCCATAAGTTTCAAAGAACCTCTTTTTCAGACTTATGCTTAGAATTCATTTCCTGCTCATGGCAGACAAGTTTCTCCTGTCTGGATTTCCTAATTCCGTAACTTCTGGAAGTTATAGAATTAGTCTGGAAGCCTGACTTCTGGCTCTGGGCTGCTCCAGGACTGCCCTAGTGCCTTGCAGTAGTACTCGGGTCTACACCTTTCTTCATCCTATGTGTCAGCTTCCTCCTCTCAGGATAGCCACGTGACTTTTTACACTCAACATGAGGTCCCAGTTACACTGTTAATATGAAGGTCATTGGAGAAACAGGATATAAATGCCAGGTATTGGTACATGTAGTGTTATTAATAATGAAATGATTGATGGTTATAGCAAATGTTAAGCTCCTAGAAAAAGGCATGAAATGCCTAAAAATGAAATGGTCCAGATAGTGCTAAAAAAAGAAAGCAACAGATACAAGAAAGTAAGTGTTCATAATTATCTGATCTCAGGATAAGAAAGAATATTCTAAACATGAAATCACACACATGCACACAACACATCAAATTTACACATCAATGTTCATTGTCTACATGCTGAAAAGAAAATTACAATCTCAGCAGCAAAGTAGGAGAAATATTACCATAAATATGAAGAGAAATGAGTTGATTTATGAGGAACACTAAAAAATGTAATGTCAAAACCCCTAAAGGAATATAGAAATAAAGAACAAAAATGTCATCAAAGTGCAAAAGCTGAAAGAAAGGAATTTAACAAATAATCAGAAACATACCAACCAATAGATCTGACGTGCCACTTTGTGTGTGTGTGTGTGTGTGTGACATGCCTTTTTTGCACTGCTCTAATATGCCACATTTTTGTTGGGCTTTGATAGATACATTGTGCAGTGCTGACAAGACAACAGTAGAGAAGTCAGTTGGCGCAGACTTGCTGAAAGTTCTCTCAAAATGCGTATGAAAAGCAGCTAATCAGCCTTTGCTTTAACCACTCAGTTAATATCTAGGACAATTTCCTAAATAAATTACCTAGAAGTGGATGTGGATGCATATTCAAAAAGCCTGTTCCTCATTTTTGCAATAGCAAATTGAAAAACAGGAAGAGAAAATAAAAGCTAAATATATCCATACAATAAGATATCATGCGATCATTTAAAAGAACATTTGAAACTGTGGGAATGTTCAAATATAATATCAAGTGGAGTGGAAAAAAGCTAGGTTAAAGCTGTAGTTACTCTCTGAATTTCTAGGTGTATATTAATCTAAATAAAAAGAGACAGGAAATACATTAATATGTTAGGAATTATTGTGGAGTGGTAGAATGAATTACTTTTATTTGCTTCTTTGAACTTTGTGTTTTGCAGAAATCCAGAAAAAATAAATACTTTATCTATCAAGAAATATGTGTTGTCTGTTAGTTGCATAGAGTTGACCTCACAGGTCTTGTGTGTGAATCCTGTAGGAAGCCAGGGGATGCCTGGAAGGCCAGGACTGAAGGGTCAGCCAGGATTCCCAGGACCTTCAGGCCAGACCGGACTTCCTGGACCTCCCGGACTGCATGGGTTCCCAGGAGCTCCTGGCCAAGCAGGACCTTTGGGACTGCCAGGTGCCCCAGGTCACGGAGGTAAGAATTCAGCCCTGCTATAAACTACTGTGGTCCTCACTAGCTACTGACATCTAACCTAGCACCACCCTTCCCTGATGGGATTCTCAAAGAATGCTCCAAGGATCCCTCTCTTGAGTGTTAGCCAGGTTCTAAACCCAGGACAAACATTCCCTAAACAAGGAAGACTTAAGCAGCCCAAGAAACGTATTCAGTGCTTACATCTGTTATATATATTGGGGCCCTAGGAAAGGTTTAATTAGGAGAAAAATTCTCACTGCAAGTAGTTTAAAATCACAGCTCTTATTTGGAGAGGAGAAATCAATATTTGTTTCTTGAAAATTGAATGATTTGAATGAGTAAAAGGAGACATTTAAGTCTGAAAAATATGGGGGTGAGTTGGGTGTAAGAAAGGAATACAAAGGAATGAAACTGTTGACCTTTTGGAGACATCGGACTGAGAGACCCAGCGTATCCCACAAAGGCTAAGGTGTGTGGCAAAGGAGACACTGAAAGAGGTCATGGGTCCAGACACCTAGCAGGCATCATCACAATAGACTGAGGGGTACATAGTGCTCCCCACCATGGTAAGCCCCAAGATTGTGACTGTTCCCACACACCTTGTCAGTGGTCTGCAGACAGGGGGATTTCATGGACCACTGAAATCTCAAATCCGGTTTTGGGTAACCAGTAAAGGTGTTCCACCTCTTTATTTGGCCAGATAAGAATTCTTTTCCATTTTATTTATTATCACTATCAGAGTCCTGGTGTGGTGCTGTGGGTTAGCACTGGTCTGCAAAGTCAGTTCAACACAGGGTCACTATGAGTTGGAACCAACTCAACTGCATTAATAACAAACTAGAGCAACATCACCATCAGTCCACAGGAGATCCTGTAAAACTAGAAAGGACACAATTACCAATAAAGGATAGGCCCCTAAGTGGAAGAAATTCAGCTTTTCAAAAGTTCACAACTTTGCCCTGAGGTTTCCCATTTTGCCATAGTTGTCACTATGATTTGTGAAGGATCATTGCTGGGGAGCTGCTGTAGCATCCATAATTCATGTATAAGTCAGGATACTTCTAGCTAGCCTAGAGCTTCCTCCACGAATGGCCTACGCGGTCTCCACGGGGCATGACTAGAGTGGAACTGTGCTAACCCATTGCCACCCAAACCCACTGCCGTAGGGACCATTTCGACTCATAGTGACTCTACAGAACCGAGTAGAACTGTCCCATGGAGTCTCCAAGTCTGTAAGTCTTATGGAAGCCAACAATTGCATCTTTCCTCCTCAGAGTGGCTGGTGGGTTCAAACAGCTGACCTTTTGGTTATCAGCAGAGCACTTAAGCACTGTGCCACTAGGACTCCTTCAGGGTTATGCTAACCAGTGGTTTTACAGGGTAACAAAAATTCTGGGGGATGAGATTTGATCCCTGTTATTTCCATATTAAGAAGTCAGTATCTCAACTTAAATTTCTCCATTTTGAAATATTCATTAAGCCCAAAGTATCATGTGGTGGGTATGTGAAAGTACTTGTCTTAAAGGAGTTGACATTTTAGTTGGGGACAGTGTGTTGTGGTTGCTGTTAAGTGCCACTGAGTTGGTTCCACCTCATAGTGACCCTATACAGGGTTTCTGAGGAGTGGTTGGTGGGTTTGAACCACCCACTTTGTGTTAGCACGCCAGTGCTTATCCTATAGCATCACGCCAGGACTCCTGGGGACTAGCATACAGTAAAAAGGCTTGTATTGGGCCAGGCCAAGGCCTAAAGAGTGACGTAGACCATGATTTCCCCAGTGTTTCTGAGGAGGCCGAAAAGCTCATAGGCTAGAATGAGCTTAGAAGGAAGAGGTGAGACGAGCCAGACATGCAGGTCTGGACTGGAGTGAATAGGGGAAGGGGAAAGCTTGAAATCGAAGCAGAGGCAAGGATGTCCAAGGAAAGTTCTGGAGCTGTGATCATCCAACCTGGCTCCAGTAAAGAGTTTAATTTGAGGAGGGAGTGGTGATCTGGGTAGAGAAATTGTAGCCCAAGTTTGGAAGACTTTGAATGTCCAGCTGAGAAGCTTGATCTCACTGGGAGCCATTGACAGTTGTACCAGAAGCATTTTAGGCACCCACCTGGTCACATTGTGTGTGAGGAGTGGAGTGAGGAGAGGCTGGAAGCAAGTCTTAATCTGGGAAGTTCCTGATGTCATAAAAATGAAGATAAGGAGGTGAAAGCAGGTAGAAGTGGAAGGGCAGGAGGTGCTGAATTGGCAGGTGCGTGGGGACGGCTCTCTTGGAACGTCATCTCCAAGAACAGATCATGTAGTTGTTCAAGTTCAGGAGGCGCAGGTGGTCCTCTGGTCATCACCTCTACAGGCTTGCCCAGGCCGACAGTGCTGGACCTGCGCCTGCCTCATCACTGCGCCATCATTACAGCGTCGTTCCTTTGGCCTTAAAGACGAGAACTAAAGTGGAGAGACTGAGATTCGTCTCACAGGTCATGTTTGGCTTGCATCCCAGCCCCACACACTTCTCTGTACGCTCTGGTTGCACTTTTAAAACATCCTTCTATATATACGTATGGTGGTGGTGGTGGTTATGTGCCGTGGAGTTGATTCCAACTCGTAGTGATGCTGTATAGGGTTTTTGAGGCTGTAAATCTTTATGGGAGCAGAAAACCTCATCTTTCTCCCGTGGAACGGCTGGTAGTTTTGAACTGCTGACCTTGAGGTTCACAGCCCAACTCGTAACCATTTACGCTACCAAAGCACCTATAAATATATGTATGTTGTTGTATTTGTTGTTGAGTGCCGTCAATTCGATTCTGACCCATAGCTACCTTGTATAGGGTTTCCAAGAAGCAGCTGGTGAGCTTGAACCACTGACCTTTGCAGTTTAAACGACTTTGCAGTCCGACGCATTAGCCTGCAGTGCCACACCAGGACTCCATATATATATGTATGTGGTGTTGTTAAGTACCATCGGGTCGGTACCGACTCATAGTGACCCTGTACACAACAGAACATTTCCTATTTTTCTAAGAACGTTTTCTAATCGAGGAAAGCTATGGTAATAGTTGATGTTGTAAAAGAATTGTAAGAGACGTTTCCTCTGTGTGTATATTTGCTCCTTTTCCTTACAATTTCCCTTCCTCTTGTTGTTGACAGGTCTGGCTGGTGACAGAGGAGACCCAGGAGACTCAGGTATCCCTGGCCCTGTGGGCATGAAAGGACTCTCTGGTGACAGAGGGGATGCTGGCTTATTGGGTGAGAGAGGCCATCCAGGAAACCCCGGATTCAAAGGAATGGCCGGAATGCCTGGTATCCCTGGGTCAAAAGGTAATTGTGGAACCATGTCTATGTTCTATGGGAACAGCCTTAACAGGGTGGTAGGCTAAGTTATGACTTGGGACAGCTCTACAGGGCATCTCCATCCTCCCTGTGTGGGGCTGGCCTCTCACCTCTGAAACCTAACGACTCACCCTAGTGATTGGCAGACCCTGAGAAAACCCACTAATGTGATTTGGACTCAGGTGTGGCTGTTGTGCCTCAAAATGCCACTTTGTAAATTTACCGAGACGGCAGCTTTAAAAATTTTTTTTAGAAAAACAGAAAACAGGGAAATTAGCGGATGGGTCCACTCAGGAGACTAGACTCAGATCAGGAGGTTGTGTGATGAATGTCAAACAGAACAAAGAAACGCGGTAGGTTTATTTGCACACAAGGGATAAAACCAGTTATCCGAGAAGCAGAGCACTTGGTCCTTGGGATATTTAGGTGATCTCTTGTCTGACCTCCTTGCGGAGAACAGCTGTAATGTGTTGCTTTCTAGGAACCCTCTGCCCCTCTCCCTGAAGGCTCTGTGGTCCTGTGCTATGCCAACACATCTTCAGAGTCCTTCCACCAGAGCTCTGTGGACTTTCCTTTATGCTTTACTTCTAAACGCCAATCTGGAGGCAGGCTGACTCTACATCCCTCTGCCTACACATTTGGTCTAGAGCTCTGGTGGCATGTTGGTTAAGCACTCAACTGCTAACTGAAAGTCCCACAGTTCAAACCTACCTGCTGCTCCATAGGAGAAGAGACCCAGAAATTTGCTTCCATAAACCTTACAGCTTTGGGGCAGTGCTCTTCTGCCTATGGGTTCATATTAATCAGAACTAACTCAATGGCATGTAGCAATAACACCCACTGGTCAGTGGACAAGGTCATTTAGAAAGTGGTGTTTCAGACCATTCATGTTTTAGGTGAAGAATCTTAGTTTAGCATCGTCTCGGTTACACTTTGTTGTTGTTAAGTGCCATTGAGTTGGTTCTGACTCATAGTAACCCTGCATAGGGTTTCTGAGGAGCAGATGGTGGGTTTGAACTGCTGACATCGTGGTGGCTCACATTCCAGTGCTGGTTCTACAACTCTGCACTAGGAGTCGGGACATATTATAAAGATAAGTAAAATTGAGATATTCTGTCCTTATGATCCAGAGCTAACCCAGTACTTTTCTCTTTTCTTCTGAAGGAGACAGAGGTTCGCCTGGTATGGATGGCTTTCAAGGCATGCTTGGACTTAAAGGAAGACCTGGGTATCCAGGAAACAAAGGAGAGTCTGGATATTTTGGAAGTCCTGGTCCGAAAGGTCTGTCAGGTGAACCAGGTGTTAAAGGTATGTCCACCCCTCTTAAAATGCTTTTTACAGGGTTGAGATTCCTTATTGTGGTGATCTAACAGTACCCAGGATGAATCTTTAAGAATCCACCACATCTGAGAGACCTTAATCTAAAAGCTGGTTAAAAAACAAATAAACCAAACTAATAAAATATGGAGGGCTTCATCTGTGCCTCAATGTGCTAATGATGTGTAATAAGGCAATAATTCTACCAAAGGAAACTACAAACCAAAGACAAGTGCAGCATGAAGCAATGACTATGTCATGAAAATATATTCAGTCATGACTCAACCATGGTTAGCGTGAAGACTTGAAGCTAGGTATAAACCAGCAGGAAGGTGAATTCAAATGTGGACAACTCAGTTTGACAAAAAAAAGGGATAAAGTAGTGCAGGAGGAAAGATGTAGCTAGATGAAAGAGGCTGGGGTGGCCCAAGTGAGAGCCTCCCATTCAGAGTACATTACTAACAAGGAGCTCTGGGAGCATAGTGGTTACAAATCGGGCTGCTATCCTCAAGGTTGGCAGTTCAAATCTACCAGCTGTTCTGTGGGAGAAAGATGAGACTTTCTGCTCCCATAAAGATTTGCAGCCTGGAAAACCCTGTGCAGGGTCACTATGAGTTGGAACCAACTCCATGGTACTTAACAACAACAATACTTAGCTTCAGATTTTCTTTTATTTCTGAAAGTACCATTGTTGTTGTTAATAAGTACCATTGAGTCAGTTCTAATTCATAAAGCCCCTGTATAGAGTTTCTGAGGAGCAGCTGGTGAGTTTGAACCATCGACCTTGTGGTTCAAATGACCTTGTGGTTCAAATGACCTTGCAGCCCAATGCTTATCCAGCAGCCCCACACTAGGACTCTGAAGGACCATAGTGGTCTTTAAAGCCTTAATTACTAACATGAAATGTTGATGAAGATATGGAAAAATTGGAACCATCATATATTACTAGTGAGATTGCCAAATGGTGCAATCACTTTGGAAAACAAGTTAGCAGTTTCTCAGAAAGTTAAATGTAGAATTAGCCCATGACCAAGCAATTCCAGTCATATTCATATGCCCAAAAGAATTGGAACTAGGAACTCAAACCGAGTCTTGTACGTCAATGTGCATAGCATCATTATTCACAGTAACCAAAAGTTGGGAACAACCCAAATGTATGCTAACTGATGAATGGATAAATAAAGGAATATTATTCAGTCCTAAAAATGAATGAAGTTCAATGTGTGCTACAACCTGAATGAACCTTTAAAACATTGTCACATATTTATAATTCCTTTTATATGAAATCTCTAGACTAGGCAAATCTCCAGTGACAAAAAGTACCTTACTGGTTGCTAAGGGGAAGGAACCTGGTGGCCTAGTGGGTCATGAGTTGGACTGCTAACCACAGTGTTGGAGTCCTGGAGCGGCACTGTAGGATAAGCACTGGACTGTTCACCACAAAGTCAGTGGCCGCTCCTTGGAAACTCTATACAGAGTCACTATGAGTCAGAACCGACTAGATAGTACTCAGGAACTATGACCACAATGAAGACGGTTCAAACCTACCAGCCTCTCCATGGCAGAAAGGTGGGACATCTGCTCCCTTAGAGATTCTCTGTCCCAGAAATCCTGTGGAGCGATTCTACTCTGTCCTGTGGAGTCGATGTGAATCGGGCTCCATTCATTGGTGGCAGGCTGGGTCAGTCAGCTGTGGTTTTAGAGCTGGGTGGCTGGGGGCAGAGGAGAATGAGGAAGGACTGTAATGCACCCCAAGTCCTTTGGGGCAGGGGGTGGGGGGGGAGATGATGAAAATATTCTAAAGTTAGTTTATGGTAATTGTTGAACAATTCTGTAAATATGTTAAATATCATCAATCATTATCTTTAAGTGGGTGAGTTTTGTGGTATGTGAATTATCTCTGAATAAAGCGGTTTAAAAAAATTAAGCACTTAACTCCTCAAAGAGTTAAGGGTTTTACAAATTCTGAGCTAAACAGAAATTGCCATGCAAGGTACTTTTCCCCAAGCTTTCAACTCACACTTGCCTTTTCTAATAATCTTTGTGTTCACTTAGAAATTTCAAGTCATTGATCACACACACACACACACAAATGCTATTTTTAAATTAAATTTGAAATGAAATCACCCTTGATTGTTCTACTATATTATTTTCTCAGCTCCATTACAACTCTATCTGAGTCTTCTTAACTATGTGGGTGTCTATACCTCCATAAGACTGTGAACTCCTCAAGGCAGCAGAGCACTTCACCTATTATCCCGTCCGAAGCTAGCCTGATATTAAACACTCAATAATTATGTTTGTGGGAAACCATCTTTTTTTCATTCAGCCAAATTCTACTTAGCTGTTACCCTAACATCCAATGAACATAGGTTCCCAGAACATCCTCCACCTGAAGCTTGTAACACTTCATATGTGCAACCCTCAGCACCCCCGGGATGCTTCCTGAATCTTCTCCAACTTTACTATATCCTTGGAAGCTCACCAGAGAGCATCCTTGCCACGTTCCACCAGCTTCTTACTGTTACCCTCCCAATTATGTGGTGGGGTGGTTTTTAGTTGCTGTTGAATTGATTCCAACTTCCGGCAACCCCTTGTGTGTACAGTAAGAATGCCCCACAGGATTTTCAGGGCCGTGATCTTTCAGAGTAGATGGTCTTTCTTCTAACATGCCTTTGGGTGGATTCAGACTGCCAACCTTTCAGCTATTAGTTGAATGCTTAACCAGTTATGCTAACCAAGAACTCCTTCACTACAGTTGACCTTTCATGAATTCTGAGACTTAAACAAGCAAGGTGTTCGTAAGAAAACAATGGGACAAGCAGCTTTCCTTTTTGGAACCTGTCTGCTTGTGATCAAGTTGAATTTCTGTCTCATCAGAGTACAAATAAACAATTATTCCCTCACATGAAATATCAATGGAAACCATGGTAAATTTTTATCGTTCTCATCTGCATTCTCTTTGTTGTTGTTGTTGTTTCGTTTTTTATTGTGAACCCATTGATAATTTACATAGGAGAACATAGGCTTCCCACCATTGTTTTCATTGCAATGGTTACAATCCCCTCTGTGCATCATCATTCAACAGTATTTGCTTCCATTCCCCCTATTTTTATTTTTTTATTTTTGGGGGCGGTGAGGGGTGGGGAGATGTACACAAAAACACTCAGGGATATATAATAATTTAAACAACCCAAGGGCACATTCTGTAAGCCTGCCTCCTGGTGGCCAGCACTCAGTCCCTCTCTTCCCCCTGAGTCTAGAGTCCTCAGCTGCTCCCTCTCTCCATGTCCCATCTGCTTTCTCTTTTCTGCACCACATTCTCCCAGCAGGCTCTGTCCTCTACCATGCATTCTGTGCTCCATGGGGCCATGTCCCCAATCTCCTTTCCTCGTTAACAGAAGAGAGAATGCAGGAGGGAAGGGAAAGCCCACAGAAGTAGGGAAGGGTCCCTACTTCCTCTGTCTCCAATTCTTAGACTTCCTTGTTGGGGGTTAGCAAGCTACGTTGGTGGCTCAGGGTGTCGGGCTCCAGCTTTGAAGGTGAGCAACGATCCTGGGAGGTCTTCCACATAGTCCAGAGGTCAAGGAAAATGACTGTGTTCTGTTCTCTTCCAGGCAGCCGTGGGGATCCTGGCCCCCCAGGACCACCTCCCATCATCCTGCCAGGAATGAAAGATATTAAAGGGGAGAAAGGAGATGAAGGCCCTATGGGATTGAAAGGATACCTGGGTATAAAAGGTGAGAGTCACCATCAAACTCAGGCTGACCTGTGAGCTGTGGACCCTGTCTTCCCTGCCTGTTCTCTCTCTCTCTCTTTCTCTCTCTCTCTCTCTCTCTCTTTCTCTCTGTCTCTCTCTCTCTCTCTCTCTCTCTCTCTCTCTCTCTTTGTCTCTTTCAGTGGCAGCTTCTCTTCACAGACATGTCCTTGTGTTTATGGAAGACTTTGGTTGTGTATTACTTCTTCTGACATCTAAGGTTTCCAGAAGTGGGCTATCAAAATATTCTTTGATGCCTAAGTAACCTCACTTTCCTGCTATAACATCTTCAACATTCAGCTTCAAAATCGAAAGCTTTGGGAAGACAAGTGCCACCTTCTCTCAAGAGCTGTTCATAACCAGGATCTCCTTGCAGGTTTTCAAGGTATGCCAGGGATCCCTGGAGTGACAGGAATTCCTGGAGTACCTGGGATGCCCGGCTATGTCAAAGGAACAAAAGGAGACATTGGAGTCCCCGGTGTGCCTGGTCTACCAGGATTCCCTGGTGTGTCTGGTCCTCCTGGGATTATAGGATTCCCAGGGTTCACTGGAAGTAGGGTAAGTTGGTGGGTTTTGTTTACTCACCTTGTTCTTCTGATGGTTATTGATGAAAGTGCTTTAGTCCAACATTCATTTGGATAAGACTAGTTAATGACAGTTTCCAAATCAGAAGTCAAGGATACTTCTTGGTCAATGGACAAGCATAAGGAAGTTCTGCGCATGCACCTGACAGGGATCTGAGTGTCCATTGTGCCCACTGTGGCCTTTTGACAGATGAAACAAAACAATAGAGAAGAAAACCACACATTTTTTTTTGTAGGGACCTTGAGAGAGCAAACTTGGTTGTCTAGAGATCAGAAATCTACATTTGAGCACACACATATGACCTCAGGATGAGAGTCCATTACTGAGAGCACACATTTGACCTCAGGATGAGAGTCCATTACTGAGAGCACACATATGACCTCAG